TTTATAATGCGATATCCAGTAAAAATTGCGATTTATTGTTTTCTAATCTTTTCGAAATTTTCTAGGGGCCCTGCCCTGGAGGGGCCAGACATTAATCATATGATTAATGTCACATTCAAATCGATTATCGTTATCGTTATACAAATCAGGTGACACTGACATACTACCGAAAAAATGGATTATCAAACTTTAAAATTCATAAACGGTTAATTCAACACACTTTTAAAAATGGACATAAAATTAAAGCAAAGCGTTATACTCGGATATTCAGATATAAATAATGCTGGTTTATATGTAGTTTCTGGAGTCGAGGAGGCGTGTATCGTTGAGCACCAAACCTATCAATTCAATATGTTTGAAAATACGAGCGATGCTGATAGTGAAGGAAAAAAACTTGAAATAAAAATAGATAATACCAAAGGCGTAAAGCATCTAAACATTAAATTTATAATTTAATTCACTAATTTTTTTAAATATTAATTTTTAATATTGAAATTCTTTGATAAAACAGAAAAGTTTCGTGAAAATACAAGAGTTACCACCTCAAAACAAGATAGTATATTTAGCAGACGCGTTAATCAATCTATTTTGCCAAAATGATGTAAATGATGTGATAATAGTTTCATCGATAAACTTTTCGGTAAATGACGAAAGTGTGTATCTGGGTTGTTTACCAGATAATGAAGAGGCAAAAAATTATGGTACATATTATTAGTATTATTGCCATTTAATCATTTTGAAAAGATTTTTGTTAAATAACCTATTTTTTATTTTTTTTTATTTATTTAAATGTTATTAAGAAAAATTAAAGAAGTTATCACCGACTTTCAAATTGCGGGATCATTTCTTTAACACAATGATCACACTGCTGAAAGTTGAAGAAATTCGTACAAGATGCTTGGTATTCCCCGGAAAGAAAATTGGTGTAAGGGAAAGAAATTCGAATAGCAGTCATGTTTATGAGGTAATTAACAAAATCTGATTAACATATTTTTCATATTTTACAATATTGGTTGTTTAACTTTGTTTCTTATTAATCAAAGGTTGGAATTTTAAGATTATTGGTTGAGGGTTTAAAAGAAATTGTACCTGATGTAAAAATTTCCATGGATAAAGTATTGGACGCCAAAGTTAAGAAAGAGTCATGTGACGATGTATATAATATCGAACAAGACATGTTAGAAAATATGATATATATGTAGAAAAAAATAAATAACTAATTGTTTGTAACATACAAATTTATTAAAATATTTATTTTGAATACGTTAAGAAACCATAGTTGTCAATCCACTTTACTTTTTCATGATAATAAATGTATATTCCTTACACGAGTATATAATATGAATCTTGAACAAGATCCTTATACCAACGAGTTAAAACTGAAGTATCAGTTAGCTTTCCATGACGATCAACTAATTGGAAACGGTTTAAGCCGAGGAATTGGTCGACTTCATATTGATTTCGGAATATTGAAGCTGTAGGGTAATAATCACCATCGTATATGTCTTTTACGAATACGAATATTTGAATGTCTAAACATTTTTTAAAAAGTTTAAAAGAACTATTCTCGACAATTAATATGGCAGCTTATGTTGATGCTGAAATTTAGGATCTCTACATAAATTTGTAGTATTATGCCTACCATATACTCTTATATTTCAATTATTGAACTCTCAAGCGAAGTCTAGCCAACTCTTTTATTTTCTGGTTGCCATTTTCGACACTTCTCGAAGATTCTTTATTTTAACCATATTTGCTTTCATTTTTTGAACATGTATGTTGAAGATCATCGATTTTATTATGTTTACGTGCATTAGAAACTTCAAGAGTTTTGTTACAGTCATGAAGTTCGCAATCAATTCTCAGCGTTCTTCTTGAAAGCAGATCGCTTTGTAGTAGTTATTCTTAAGCTCACTGACTCCCTGTTTTAAGTTGGAATGTTTGATTGTTCAAACCATCAATTTCCTTATTTTTAATTTTAACTGGCCCAACTCGCTGCTTTATAAAAATTTTTATTCATTTTCTAGTTATTTAATCGATATTGATGTTTATGAACTCGTTTTATAATAAATTTCAACATCGACCAATTTCAGCGTGCCACAATTAATAAATTATCATTGCAAATTTCGATATTAAATCTAAATTTACCTTCATGTTCCACAAAATTACCTTCACTATCAATTATTTTGATTTCAAATGGTTTATCCTGTGAGTTTTCATTCGTAATGTCCACAATGATCAACAATTTTACCCTCACTGTCAACAAGTGTTAACTCGATCGAGGGATATTGTGAAATTTCTGGTCCATATCTAGATTGAGCTGCCGTAATTATGGTCTCTGCTGTTTCAGTAATCGGAACCTTTACAGCGGTCACTCTTGGGGTATTCTTAACGAATATCCAGAATTTTTTGGTCACTACATTTGTCATTTTTTTTAAATGAAACGTCACAAAATCGGTACACAATTGATAAAAATTTTTTTTATATTATTTTTACAATACTTTTTTGGAAGGCTCGCTTGACTTATCTTTTATATGAATATTGAAAATGGTTAAACAAACATGAAGCTTTCACTTTGCTTTACAACATATTTTTTGAATCCACTTGAATCCAACGGTTTCGTCTTTTTGTAAATTTCGCAATTTGATTGGTTGACTGATATTTGACTGGTCGATACGATGAGTGATTTATGTAACGGAGAATGCAAATCATATCTATACTATATAGTTTTTAAGACCCGGGCATTGCCTCGGGTTCGAGTTTCTAATTTTTTGCTAATTCTTAGGCCTCAACATTATTAGTTTTTAAGACCCGGGCGTTGCCTCGGGTTCAAGTTTTTAATTTTTTGCTAATTCTTAGGTCTCAATGTTATTAGCTCTTAGAACCCGGTCATTGCCCGGGTTTGAGCTTTCAATTTTTTTTTAATTCTCAGGCCTAAATTATATTAGCTTTTAGAACTTAGTACGTATTGTCTGAGTTTGAGTTTTTTGTAATTAAGCCCAATTTGGGTTCAAATAGACCTGAAGTGGGTTCAAATGAACCTGATGTAGGTCAAATGGACCCAATGTGGGTTCAAATTATCCTAATGTGGGTTCAAATAAACCCAAAGTAGTTCAAATTACCCCAACATGAGTTCAAATGAACCTGAAGTGGTTCAAATGAACCGAATTGTGGTCAAGGAACCCAAATTGGAGTCAAATAAACCTGAATTGGGTTCAAAAGAACCCGAATTGGAGTCAAATGAACCTGAATTGGGTTTAAAAAAACCCTAATTTATTTTAACTGTAAACATTGTAAAAGGGTGAATTTATTTAGTGTAATTTTTTTTTTTTAAATTTTAATTATTTAATTTGACAATTACTTTAATTTAATTTTTTTTAATATAACTAATTTAATTTTTTTCTTTAATTTAATGGCTTTTTGATTTTTTATTTTTTTAATTGATGATCTTCCAGTCAACTGAAGCATGATCTTAGTAAAATGTGACTTAGATTACTATATAAATTTACTATAAATGTGGCATATATGCATCTAAAACTTTTTTTTATACTAAATTAATTATCTTTTTTGCTTAAGAGACTTTTGTAAAGCTTGTCAAAACACATGAGTGTCAAAATCAGCCTGTAAGTACTGAGATATCTTTAAAAAAACCTCTCTTTTACTATGTAAACTTTTTTGCAAACAAGAGTCAAATAATAGTATTGTTTGCAAAGAAATTTACATAGTAAAAGAGAGGTTTTTTAAAGATATCTTAGTACTCACCAGGCTGATTTTGACGCTTTAACTACCATTAGATGCGTTTTGACAAGCTTTACAAAAGTCTCTTAAGCAAGAAAAATGATTAACTTAGTATAAAAAAAAGTTTTAGATGCGTGTATGCTATATTCACACCATAGTAAATTTATATAGTAATCTGAGTCACATTTTACTATGATCATGCTTCAGTTAACTGGAGAATCATCAATTAATTTGAATTATTTTAAAATATTTCACAATGTTGCAA